CTCCTCCTTCACTGATGTAATGCTCGCATCTGTAATGTTACATTACACGCGAATGCTCCCGGTGAGGGTACACCTTTGTCCTTCGACATTTGTCAATTTAATTTTGCTTATGTAAAAAGAACTTTATTTGCATCGAATTAAAGGTTATTTCGTCTCGTCAGTTTTGATTTTAAGGTGTAAATTTTATATTTAGTACATTGGTCACAATTATATATATACAAAATACATGATACATTCCGTTTATGACAAAATGATTATACAGGAAGGGTGTAATTTATTTGTGAGTAAAAATATTAAAATTATAGTTCTCCTAACTATGCTAATTGCATTACGAAGTGTAAAATCTATTTAGGATTACATTTTCGGTGACTTAAACTGTAATCCTCAAACCGCCTGCCAAGTATAGAGATTATGACAAACCCCATCTAAGAGGATGGAAGATATATTTTTTATTTTTTACATCACTCCTTTTATCCCCGAAGGGGTAGGCGGAGCTGTTCATAACGGCACTTAATGCCACTGTACAATGTAACACCCACTTTTCACTATTCATGTTATGAGTCCCATGTAATAGGCGATGAGCCTATTGCCATATACCGGGCAAAATTCCAGACTCCGTGCTACGACTGAGAATTTCTTTTAAAAACTCAGTAATACTTTGACAGACGCGGGAATCGAACCAGAGACCCCTTGCCCGGCAGTCGCATTTGCGATCACTCGACCAACGAGGCAGTAGGAGATATAAAAGTTGGTTTATGCACAATTGTATTAATTATCTTTTTGATTAAACTGTCAAACACTGCGAGGACACCGGTGACCGCAACCTATTGTTCTTTAATTGTGTCTATAATGACGGTACTCAATGGGTTAAGTAACAGTGGTTTAAATGCACCTAAGGTCGATTTTTCCAACGCCAAATAAATTTTAACTGAGGCATAACTTTGAATATTTGACAATTCTTCCATACTAAAAAAATTGGTTGCCTGTAAAGTCGGTATACGGGCGAAAGTTTTACGTGACAACGACTTTGAGTGGTAAAATAATTTTAATGTGAATATTCATTCGTATAGTAGGAAGAAGGATGAAATAATAGTAACAATTTAAAACATTTATTTATACAAAGAATTATATTTAAAACATTAATTTATACAAAGAATCTGGCACTGAATTTCATACATTAACCGGTGTGTATGCCTATCTCTCTCACTCTCTCTCTCTCGCTCTTAGGCGGGCTAACTGTGCTCGAGTGGAAGGGACGCGTGCCTTTCACTTTTTATGTCTGTCTCTCTCGCTCTTAGGCGGGCTAACCATGCCCGAGTGGAAGGGACGCGTGCCTCTCACTCGCTCTCATTGTGAGCGCATTACGTGAGCGGAGCGTAACGCAGTTTCTTGAAGTGTCACCCGGCAAACCAATTTATAAGACGTTGTCACGTCAAAAACTGCCAAATGGCAATTTTATTCTACAGTTAACAATTAACTGATGATTGAAAAATCCGCCTTTAGTATCATAGTAGAAGAACTTAAATTTAAAATATTAATCACAAATTCAATTACACCAGTATAAATGTCATGTTAAATACTAATATTGTATAAATACTAATATTGTATAAATACTAATGTAAATTTAGGCTCGCTTTCACCAAATATCAAAACTACATGTCACTGTTTACATGTGAACATTAGCTCATGACGATACCTAAGTACGTGTGTCGCCTGGACAGTCTACGCTACATCCTTGTTGACTGGACAATCTCTGCACTACATGAGCTGCTGTTTACATGTGAACATTAGCTCATGACAATACCTAAGTACGTGTGTCGCTTGGACAGTCTACGCTACATCCTTGTTGACTGGACAATCTCTGCACTACATGAGCCCATGATGATACTTGAGTAGTGAAAATGAGTCTAAAAGACAAATCTAATAATGTGGACTTAGATTTAACTATATTGCTATCTTTGTCACATTATACAAAATACATAATAGGTGCGAGAAAGAGATAGCAATATAAAATCGGATCCTATGTCAAATGCTTTCAAGGAATAATGAAATGTTATATGAAATGAGTTTATGTGATATGATTTATCTTTATATACGATGTGTAGAAGTTCGTTGGATATTTTAAGAGATCAATGAACTCTGGCTGCGACTTTTTACGCACAAATAGGCGATTCCCGTATATCCGTTCCCGTGGGAATTTCGAGAAATCGTCTCTTAGTGCTTCCCTAGGCTACCCAAGGAAAATACACGCTAATTTTCAGCTTCCTAGGTCTAGTAATTACGGCTGTGCCTTCTCCCGCCCGGGTGAGGCGGGAGGGAGTGTCAGACTCTTACTGACTAAAATCCACCCCGTTCCTACTCCTGCACTTCGAGCCGGAGCCCCGGTAACCGTAGGTTCTCCGCGACAACACAAAACGTATAAGATTTCAATTTAGTTCGCTATGAATAAGATCACTAAAATTAATTAAAAATCGCAGGTCACTCAAATGATATTCTTTTTCTATTAGTGATAATACGGCTCTGCGCTGACCTCATAAAATACAAACAAACTACATTACAAATTGTATACACACATACATACATTGGAGCACAATATTACTATTTTCTGACATTGACATTTCAATTCTAAGTGACAGTGACAGCTGTCAAATGGCACAGATTATAAATGTTTTGCGAACGGCCACTTGCATTTATGATATAAATAATTTTGAACTAGTCATGGTGGCCCATAGGTTTAATACGTCGTGTGTCTAAACGTGGATACACGCGAGACACATTGTATTTTCTATTATGTCTCATATTGGTGCATTCAAGCGGTTAAGATGCCCGCTTCTCATGCACGAGAGTGCAGGTTCGTAACCTAACGAGTATCAATGTGACTACATACTTTCTAAGATTATTCAGACAACACTGACCAGCGGTAAGGGAAAAAATCATGAGGAAACCTGGGCTTATAATTTCTAATTATAAGTTTGAAATCGTCAACTCGCATTGAGCAAGCGAGACTTTTGTTTAGCAGTGGCTATTTATAGGCTGTTAATGATAATGAAAAATTTTTGCCAAATTAAAATAGTAATACTATGCCCAAAAGACTAATAGTGTTTAATAAATTAAAACTAAACAGTCAAATATTCAGGCCTATCTAAAAACCTATTGGTTTCCAATATCCTTTACTTGCCACCGATAGATGTCGCTGGCATCGTTTTAAGTCTTGTCTGGTATCAAAAAGTTCACTGTGTCAAGTTGATATTAATAAATAGTTATTTTAATTTATTTAGCCGTTGACACCAACCACCTCTTAACTAAGAGTTAATCAGCATGAGGTAGCACCTAAACTAACCCCATAATTATATCTGGGAAGTATGAATATTAAGTGAAATATTAAGTGCCACCTAGGAATCCCTTAAAATTTAAGAGCGGTTAATAAAAACGAGCATACGTAACTTATTTAAAACTCCAACCAAAATATGTCAAAATTGTCTCAGTTAATTAGGTTATTGAAAACACCCTTAAAATACTTTAAACTACACCAGCGCCTCTACCGGCGCAAAAACCCTTCAACTATAAGCTCACGCTATTGGTCATTCCAGCCGACCAATCCACCAATCACATATCAAATCAACATTCGTAACTGACCAATCAGAAACCTTTTACTCGCAATAATCATGTCAAGCGTCATAATTTAGTTTTATAAATGAACTGAGGTTTAAGTCCACTGTGTGACGGTTTTTATTGAATATTGCAAGGATTTTAAGAGCGAAATTTTTAACCGATTTTAAGCGAAAATATATGCATTAGTCTATTTTAATCGACTTCAGAAAAAAGAAAGAGCCCATCAGTTTGACTTGTATGTGTGTAGTTTGTCGTGGTGGCCCGGAGGTTTAAGACGCCCGCTTTTCATGCATGAGGGTGCGGGCTCGAAACCTTCCAACGTCAAGTACCAATGTGACTTTTTCCGAGTTACATGTACTTTCTAAGATTATTTAGACACCACTGACAAACGGTGAAGGAAAACATCGTGAGGAAACCGGAGCTTATAATTTCTAATTATAAGTTTGAAATCGGCAACCCGCATTGAGCAAGCGTGGTGATTAATGCTCAAACCTTCTCCGTGTGAGAAGAGGCTTCGCCGATTGTCTTGTGGTACGATAATGGAAAGGACTAGGGGGAATCAAGTTGTGCAATTCCCCCGCACACTCACCAAAATGTATAATTTTATCGTAGATATTGGCATCAGTTCTATGGAATTTTAAAGAAAAATGTATACAGTTCAAGAGATTTTGAATTAAAACCAGTTCATTGCTGTCTTAAGTAGTTAAGTATTTGACTTTTTATTATGGTTTTTGCGTAATGGAAAATAATATTGATCAATGAAATGATAAAGTAACTGAATTCTGCTCTGTACTTATATATCTTAGCGTGATGTCAGGTAGAGCACCTCAGGTGATAGTTTTTTTTTTAATATTTGATGGGCCGACGATTGACTATCTCGCCTGGTATTTTGATTTTCAAATCCCATGTAATAGGGGGCCACTTGTTTGCCATACTCCGTATTTATTAGTGATACTATTAACCCGAGAATCGAACTTAATTGTTCAGCAGTCGTATTAACGAGCAATTAATCAAGGAAATAGGTTATAGGCCACCTAACATAACGCTAAGACATAATAAGAAGGAAATCGGGTGAAACCAAGGCAAAATATTAGTCTAGATACATTACACCTCTTTTTGAATATTTTAAACATTTATATGGAAGTAAAAATCTACAACTTATAAGACATGGTAGACAAAAATCTAGCACAAACTAGATATTTCAAAAACCCCGTTCGCACTAGGGAAACGTACAGCTCAATATTAAGGCCATAGGAATGTTTAAATTCACATTTTCACTAAAACACGTGCTCCGTGTCAGCCCGAAATCAATCGGGGTACACCGAAATCGTTCGAGGATGCTCGAAAATTGTAAAAAACCCTAGTGCGGACTGTGAGTTAGTTAAAAATTACATTTGTTGTGTGGAGTTACCGTTCCAAGTATTATTATCGTCATCAGGGGCGCGGTCGCTGGGTAGACGATGTATGTTGCCTCGTCGCCGGACCCCGCCTGAGGCGGCCGGGGGGCCAGGGGAGGGAGCCCGCGGGGTTCGGGGGGACGTGGCCGGAGGGGGGAACAGGCGCGTGCGCAACCAAACTAGGAGAGTCTGTGATGGTTCTAGGATCATAGTCGTGAATAGCTGTGAGAAGAATGCTGTGGAACAAATATTGGTTTGATTAGTTTTACTCATGGAAAAATAGGATTTTTATTGTATTGGTTGTTGTAAAATATTACCTATATGTATAATAACTATCGTGAGACATACAAAATTAATAAATAATGTCGGTTTAGTCACGTAAATAACTTCGTTGCAAGTGTGAGAGAGCCATCAGCGTTGTGTTCCGTCGTTTGAGTGAGGTTACCGGAGGCCCAATTACCCCCCACCCCCACACCCAATCTCCTCAATCCCAGAACCTTCAACAAACTTCAAATTCCTAATCCCCAAAAGGCCGGTAACGCACTTGTAATGCCTCTGGTGTTCCAGGTGTCCATGGGCGACGCCGACTGCTTACCATCAGGTGATCCGTCTGCCGTTTACCGGCTTATCCCATAAAAAAGTTAAGAATACTCCTCAGTATTCTGCGCGACGTCGCAGCTCATAAGCAAGAGTCCCTATGTGACTCGAAATTAGTAGAGTAGAGCTTTTCTCAATATTTACGTGAGTAAACCGGTATTATGTATTAATTTATCTATATATATATAATTCAAAGGTGATTGACTGACTGACTGACTGACATAGTGATCTATCAACGCACAGCCCAAACCGCTGGACAGATTGGGCTAAAATTTGGCATACAGATAGATGTTATGACGTAGGCATCCGCTAAGAAAGGATTTTGATAATTTCCACCCCCAAGGGGGTAAAATAGGGGATGAAAGTTTGTATGAGACTTTGTCAGTTTTAAACCGATCGGGTTGTAATTTGGCATGCAGATAGATGTTATGACGTAAGCATCCGCTGTGAAAGGATTTTGATAATTTCCACCCCCAAGGGGGTGAAATAGGGGATAAAAGTTTGTATGAGACTTTGTCAGTTTTAAACCGATTCGGTTGAAATTTGGCATGCAGATAGATGTTATCACATAGGCATCCGCTAAGAAAGGATTTTGATCATTTCCACCCCTAAGGGTGTAAAATAGGGGGTGAAAGTTTATATGTAGCTTTGTCAGTTTTACACCGATGCAGATGAAATTCGGCATGCAGATAGATGTTATGACGTAGGCATCCCCAAGTAAGGATTTTGATTATTTCCACCTCCAATGGGGTAATGTAGTAGTAATACCAACGGCAAGTACCAATGTGACTTTTTCCGAGTTATATGTACTTTCTAAGATTATTTAGACACCACTGACAATCGGTGAAGGAAAAACGTGAGGAAACCTGGACTTATAATTTCTAATTATAAGTTTGTAATCGCCAACCCGCATTGAGCAAGCGTGGTGATTAATGCTCAAACCTTCTCCGTGTGAGAAGAGGCTTTGGTCAGCAGTGGGCATTTATAGGCTGTTGATGATGATGATGACATCAAGATACCTCTTACTAACAATTACAATATGAAAAACTTACTGATAATAGTAGCGACACTAGAGGGCCTGGCGACGGCGGGCGCGGGGCGGCGCGGCAATACGAGCAGCGCGGCCGACGGCGCCAGCTGCAGGCCGCGCAGGCTGGCCGCCGAGTCCGTCAGCTCGCGCCGGGGGAACGCCGTCCACAGCGCGAATGATGACGTCGATAACTGGGAAACATATTGTTTATACAGCTCAGCATACATGCAAACTAAACGTGTATACAAAATATCAGCTCAATCGATTGAAGATACATCTCCCCACCCTAGGATTTCCTCCTGTGTCGTGTGTGCGTTTACCAACATACAAGTTCACAAACACATGACACCCAGACCCGGAACAACAATCTATGGATCACACAAAGAGTTGTTCCGTGCGGGAATTGAACCCGCGACACGTTGCACGGCAGCCGGTTGCCCAGCCACCGCACCAACCGTGCAGTCGAAATATAACATCACACCTTTTATCCCCGAAGGGGTAGGCAGAGGTGCACATTACGGCACTTAATGCCACTGTACAATGTAACACCCACTTTTGCCATATACCCGGCACAATTCCAGACTCAGTGGTACTACTGACTGAGTTCTACTACAACAAAATATATAAAACATTTAATAATAGCATTCCTCCGAAAAATTAAATTGTATTAGTAAAAGAATTTATCCAGAATGTTATGCCTTACATCTTATCAAACTAATTAAACTAAAATACAAGTTGCATAAAAATGATAAAATAACCAAATGTCCGAGTGATTATGAGGCATTTTCTCGCTGTCGAGCAAGGGTATAAGCGGAAACCGCGAGTTGTAATATGAGGTATAAACATCGAGTACAAAATAATCTAGCTACTGACCCTAAGTCATAATGGAATTACGTAAGGTCAAATAAAGATACTTCTAGTCAGTACAAATTAATCAAAAAGGGATGAGTTTTATCAGCTGATGAATCTGCTAAGGAGTATGCACGATTCTTCCGTTCAGTGTATAGCGAGGCGTGTGGGGGGGGGAGGGGGGGCGAGCCCTCGCCTGCCTCGAGCGAGCGGCCGTTAGGCGCGCACTCACTTGTCTGCCGCCTAAGCGCTCGGTGGGCCCTGACGGGATTCCACCCTTCATCTTGAGGGATTGCCGCATAGTATTAACGGGACCTTTACAACACATTTTTAATATTCGCTTATCAACAGCAAACTTTCCGACTCGCTGGAAACTGACTCGGGTGGTACCTATACCATAAGGGCGGGGTGGCACGGATGTCAGTGATTTCAGACCAATTGCGGTGCTGTGCACCAGCCAAAGTATTTGAGATGGCTGTTCACAATAGCCTGATAAAATAATAATAAATACATACCTGTAGATTATCGGCGACATATCTCTGTACGTCGGCGAGGGTCCCGTCGGCGTGGAAGTGCGCCGTGTGGGACGTGCCGTCCGGCAACTTGAACTGGATGCGCGCGCCCGTACCCACGTCGCCTGACGCTGGGGGAAGGGGACAACATTCATTCACTCTCTTCTCAAATGGAAAAGGTTTGAGCTTTAAGATCACAAGAATTCTAACATAACATAACATCACGCCTTTTATCCCCGAAGGAGTAGGCAGAAGTGTACATTATGCCACTGTACAATGTAACACCCACTTTTCACTATTTATGTTATGAGTCCCATGTAATGGGGGGTGAACCTATTGCCATATACCGGGCACAATTCCAGACTCTTTGCTACTACTGAGAATTTTTTAAATACCCAGTAATACTTTGCCCGACCCGGGAATCGAACCCGAAACCCCTTGCCCGGCAGTCGCACTTGCGATCACTCGGCCAACGAGGCAGTGTAATTTTAATTAACTCGTTGAGTACCGTCATAATAGACACAATTAAAGAACAATAGGTTGCGGTCACCGGTGACCGCTCCGTTTTTGACAGTTTAATTAAAATAAATTTGGTTTCCTTTGCATTCTCCGGCTACAGCCTAAGTAATTTGCTATTGCTGCATTATCATATAATATGCTTTTGCTAGCTTCGTACATGTTACATTCGGAGTAAAACAATCTGTATTCTTTTTAAATCACTCTAAAAATGCGTTGCGTAGTTTTAAGTATCTAAGCATATGGCCAGACAGTGGAAAATGATTACATTTTATACTAGCTTTTACCCGCGGCTTCGCTCGCGTCACAAAAGGATAAAAAGTAGCCTATGTGACATATACCAATAGACACAGCGCCATCTATACCAATACTTTTGTTTTCCCTCTAGATTATCAAATTTTTCCGGGTTAAAAAGTACTATTATTTAATCCGGACTTCTAACTTTACGTCTGCAAAAATTCAAAGCAATCGGTTTAGTAATTACGGCGTGAAAGCGGAACAAACAAACAAACAAACAAACTCACTTTCTGATTTATAATATTAGTAAGGATAAGGATAACTTAGTGATATTAGCAGTGTATACAGACTGGCAGTGGGCTGCGCGGGCGGTGCAGTGGGCGCGGCGGGCGGTGCGGGCGGTGCGGGCGGCGGGCCGTCCCGCGCGCGCCGCTCGCGCCGGTCCTGCGCGATCTGCTCCAGTATCCGCTGCCGGGCCAAGTTGTTCTCCATCTTCTCACGACGACGCTCCTCCTGGGGATAATATTAACAACATGTTTATGTGAACTTGTATGTTTGTAGCCCGGAGGTTTAAGACACCCACTTCTCATACATGAGGGTGCTCGAAATCTACCAACGGCAAGTACCAATGTGACTTTATCCGAGTTATATGTACTTTCTAAGATTATTTAGACACCACTGACAAACGGTGAAGGAAAAACATCGTGAGGAAACCTGGGCTTATAAAGTCTAATTATAAGTTTGAAAGCGCGAACCCGCATTGAGCAAGCGTGGTGATTAATGCTCAAACCTTCTCCATGTGAGAAGAGGCTTTGCTCAGCAGTGGGCATATAGGCTGTTGATGATGATGACCCTATTCTATTCGATTTCAGCAACCGTGATTGTTTCATGGTTACCTGTATCTGTTTAAGTTCCTGGTCAGCCTGCCACCGCTTCAACTCTGCGACACCTTTACCCTGAGCACGCCGTTCCATCTCTTTCTCTTTCTCCAACTAATAAATAGAAAGAGAAAAAACATTATTAAAAAGGTAATAAAAAAGGGTAAATATTACCTCAATTCTAATATAGGGTATTAAATAATATAAACCACACAAAACAATGGCGTGAAACAACGCTTGCGTTATTTAACGTATGAGTGAAGTTAATAGTAGTCTTGATAAATAAATAAACTAGTGTTTTAAATATTTAATTGATAAATAAATAAATAAACGATTGAAGTTAATAGTAGTCTTGATAAATAAATAAAATAAAACACTAGTTTATTTATTTATCAAGACTGCCTTGCCGACCGCCTTTATAACCCCGAAGGGGTAGGCAAAGGTGTAAATTAGGTATGCCACTGTACAATGTAGCACCCACTGTTCACTATTTATGTTATGAGTCCCATGAAAAAGGGGGTTAGCCTATTGCCATATACCGGGCACAATTCCAGATTACGTACTACTACTGTGATTTTTTTGAAAAACCCAGTAATACTTTGCCCGACCCGGGAATAGAACCCGAGACCCCTTACCCGGCAGTCACACTTGCGACCACTCGGCCAACGAGGCAGTCCATTTGTAATAGGTAATCTTATATCTTATACTATTATATAAAGCGGAACAGTTTGTTTTTTTGTTTGTTTGTTTGAACGCGCTAATCTCCGTAACTACAAGTCTGATTTGAATAATTCTTTTTGTGTTGGATAGCGCATTTATTGAGGATGTCTATAGGCTATAAAACATCACGCTACGACCAATAGGAGATGAGCAGAGCGTGTGAAACCGCGCGGAAGTAGCTAGTAGTAGGATTTTGAGTAATATCTATTTACCTCCTTTTCTTTATCAGCTTTCTCCCTCCTCCTGGCCTCTATCAGCTCCTTGGCCCGCTCCATCTTCTCCTCGATGCTGCCTCCACTTTCTGTGGTCGACAAGTCTGGCGCCTTGAATAAGAAGAAATAAATTTCAATAATCAACGTTAATTTTTTTATGGCATAAGCCGGTAAACGAGCAGACGGATCACCTGATGGTAAGCAATCGGCGTCGCCCATGGACACCTGGAACACCAGAGGCGTTACAAGTGCGTTACCGGCCTTTTGGGGATTAGGAGTTTGAGGGTTGTTGGGGATTCAGGAATTGGGGAGATTGGGGAAGGGGAGGGTAATTGGGCCTCCGGTAACCTCACTCACACGACGAAACACAACGCAAGCGTGACTTCACGTCGGTTTTCTTTGAGGCCGTGGTATCACTCCGGTCGAGCCGGCCCATTCATGCCGAAGCATGGCTCTCCCACACTTCTTCGACTTCAGCGTCCTTATCTTTCTTGAAGTCGGTTAATAATAAAGTCAGTATCACCATCACGCTTTTTATCCCCGAAAGGGTAGGCAGAGGTGTATAATAATAATTTTAATAATTATTTATTCTTAAGCACCTAATACAATATATCAACAATAGTTTGGTTACAATATTTTTACAGGTGTATGATTTTAGCTTCTGTAGTCGAACTAGGCATTGCCTGTATTTCGACTATCAGTGCCCAAATATTACAACACTTAATGCCACTGTACAATGTGATAGCTACTTTTTACTATACCTATATATTATGAGTCCCATGTAATACCAATCCCAGGCACAATCCCCGACACAGTGCTACTACTGAGATTTAAAAAAAACCCCAACAATAATTTTCCCGACCCGGGTATCGAACCCGAGACCTAACGGGTCAGCCATACTAGAGAAATAACTAGCCAGTAGCAGCGCGACAGTCGCCGCGTCGGTCGCGGAACGCTGCTCATGACTATGAGCCTCTAACATGGTTTGAAACTGGTAGAGTTCCTCGTCAAATAGTTACGTGAGTAAGGCGAATAACATAATAATTAAATTCCATTGTTTTTGAAGTGATTTAAAAGTATAGTTGACTTTGACTAATCTAATATATAAAATTCTCGTGTCACGGTTTTCGTTGACATACTCCTCCGAAACGGCTTGACCGATTTTGATGAATTTTTTGTGCTTATCCGGTATCTATGAGAGTCGGCCAACATCTATTTTTCATCGCCCTAAATGTTAGGGATAGTCCAACCCTAAATTTTATTTTATTTTATAGACAACATTTTTAATTTCAATTTTTTATGATACAACATATAAAAATACATACAGTCCTCAATTTTCACCCTTCTACGAAATCCTTACTAATATTATAAATCGGACAGTGAGTTTGTTTGTTTGTTCCGCTTTCACGCCGTAACTACTAAACCGATGGCTTTGAAATTTTGCAGACGTAAAGTTAGAAGTCCGGATTAAATAATAGGGTACTTTTCATCCCGGAAAAATTTGATATTCTCGAGGGAAAATGAAATTATTGATATAGATGGCGCTGTGTGTATTGGTATATGTCACATGGCTACTTTTTATCCTTTTGTGACGCGAGCGAAGCCGCGGGTAAAAGCTAGTTATTTATATGGCAAAACAACGTTTGCCGGGTCAGCTAGTATTGACTATAAGACTTACCTGTGACGAAGCAGGCGTGCTAGGCAGACTAGGAGTGGGTGCCTGACTGGGTCCCGCCTCGTCCGCCTTGGACGCTCGCCTCACACACACGTCACCATCGCATTCCATGTCATCTGGAGTCAGTGCCTTCGACTCCTGGGCGGTCTTCTGGATTTTCGGTGGGGGTGAACCTGTTGCTGAAGAATTTTGATACATTGTATTTAGTATTTTTTATGGGATAAGCCGGTAAACGAGCAGACGGGTCACCTGATAGTAAGCAATGCCTTCTGGGGATTAGGAAACAGGATTTTTGGGGATTCAGAGATTAGAGAGGGAGGAGGGGGTTAATTGGGCCCCCCTGCCTGACTCACACGACGAAACATAACATGCCGTGGTATCACTCCGGTGGAGCCGGCCATTCGTGCCAAAGCATGGCTCTCCCACACTTTTTATGAAACATTGCCTCAATCGAAGATTGTCCTCTGTGTCGTGGGCGTGGATGCGTTTACAAACATGCAATTACACACGATCCGTTCGAGACCCGAAGAAGAATTTATGGATTGTATGATTGAGCGTTGTTATTTTTTTTGCTTGTTTTATCCCATAGAGAATTCGTAAGTGATAGTATGAAGGCTGATTATGATAAGTCTTTATATGTATAACATAACATCATAACATCACGCCTTTTATCCCTGAAGGGGTAGGCAGAAATGCACCACCATACCACTGTACAATGTAACACCCACTTTTCACTATTTATGTTATGAGTCCCATGTAATAGGGGGTGAGCCTATTGCCATATACCGGGCACAATTCCAGACGCCGTGCTACTACTGAGAATTTTTTAAAATCCCGGTCATACCTACTTCGCCCGACCGGGAATCGAACCCGAGACCCCTTGCCCGATAGTCGCACTTGCGACCACTCGGCCAACGAGGCAGTCTTTATATGTATTTTGCAGAAAAAATCGTAAACACATTTTCATTACTTAAATGATTGACTAAATAAATCTTGGTCGCGTTTTGAAGACAGCAGGCTGTTGGCGGATGTTTGTGGATGTTGGCGTATGATATGGTTGCAGATCTTACATAGTAAACTAACCTTCATCGTCGTGTACTTGCTGGGCAGCCTCAGCAGCTTGCGTCACCATGGCGGCAGTCTCAGTCTGAACGAAGCTGCCAGTCTGCTCCTTCAGGTTACTGGAGCCGTGGATGTTGGTGGATGACGTGGATGGCTGGACTTGTTCAATGGCTGATTGAGCGCTGGTGGGAGAGGGCTGCTTGTCTTTGTCTGGAAAAAAGGACTTTTTATAGCTACACACAACATAGCTAATAATTGCAGTTGAAAAATAGCAAAAAATCGTAAAAAAACTCAAATAATAATTAATACGACTCGGAAATCGAAGCCAAGACCGCTCGGCTGTCTCACTTACAACCAATGCTAATGCAAACAGATCCAGGTAAGTCAATGAAGCTATTTGATCATCTCAAAATGTACATACATTCGTATGGAGAAGAACGAGCAAGAAACTACAATGATGACGTTTAAAAAAATAAATAAGAAGTACTCACAATGCTGCTCAAGAATCCTATCTATCCGCACAGCCAAGTTGCTCGCCTGCACTCCTGCGCATACCACCTCAAGAGGCATACCATTCCGACCAATGAAGAACAAGGACGGAACAGGCACGAATTGATCTAGTTATTATGAGTTAGGGACTATAACTTTATACATAGGTGAAATATATTGGGATTCGGTAATGGTAAAGTGCCCAAATGGTAAGATGCGCGTGCCCAACTGCCCATAAATTGGCTGCGACGACAACAAAAAATAGGGGCGCCAATGAGTTGCTACCTAGGACCATTTCTGGATTTTTTTTGTTTATATTGCATTTGTTTTCCTCCACGGACTCTTGTCCGTGCCCTTGTCATTCAATTACATTTTCTTTTATTTTACTGTCAAAATTACTTATTATTAAAAGTCATTAACCACATTCTTTTTCACAAAGAAGGTGGTGACTACTATCTACATATACACAATACATGTTTCATTACATTTACATTAACCCTACTGGATCAGCCCACCCGCACGATGAGCGAGCTGACCTGCTCCAGCAGAAGGCGCCTGTTCACGAGCATGACGTGTGGGCCAGCAATCGGTCCGATCAACCATTTCGTAGGGAACGGAGTGACCCAGCCCACAGCGCCACCGACTGTAGAACATTTCCATTTCTGGATACCATTACCTCTAGGTAATGGTGCTTCGTAAAGGTACTTTTTTCACCACCTTTTAAGACTTCTCATGCATGAGGGTTCGAAACCTACCAACGGCAAGTACCAATGTGACTTTTTACGAGTTATATGTACTTTCTAAGATTATCTAGACACCACAGACTAACGGTGAAGGAAAACATCGTGAGGAAACCTGGACTTTCTAAGTATAAGTTTGAAATCGCCAACCCGGATTGAGCAAGCGTTATGATTAATCCTTGAACCTTCTTGAAGAACCTTCTCCTTAAGAAGAGGCTTTGCTCAGCAGTGGGCATTTATAAGCCGTTGATGATGATAATGATGAATCTTCTATTTCTACCCTTCTCGTGGGTATCAATTCCAAATTACAAGACTAAAATTAGCCGAATCGGCTCAGCCGTTCTCGAGTTTTAGCGAGACTAACGAACGTAAATTCATTTTTATTTATATAGATAAACTAACAACCCACCCCGGCTTCGCACGGGTGCAATATGCATTTATTATACATATAAACCTTCCTTAAGAATCACTCTATCTATTAAAAAAACCGCATCAAAATCCGATGCGTAGTTTTAAAGATCTAAGCTTACATAGGGACAGACAGACGGCGGATAGCGACTTTGATTTATACTATGTGTTGATAAATAAATATTTTTGTAACTTTTTTTTTATATATTTGAGTTGGCGACGTTTGACCACTATCTCGCCTGGTGGTAAGCGATGATGCTGTCTACGATGGAGCACGTCGTCCCATAAGCAACCTATTCACTCGGGCCTTGAAGACTCTCAGGTTGTACCCTTCAGGAAATACAGACTCTGGCAAAGAATTCCACTCTTTAACTTATTCGAAAAGGATACAAATCTGAGCGAAGTAGTTATAGTTAGGCGAGCCGCTCTTCAGCTTGATGGCTAGAAAATTGGACTGGTTGGAGAGGCGGCTCAGCACGTCGGTGTCATCTATAGTGGCTGCCATCTCGACTGACATGTCGTTTTCACCTGCACACAAACAAAAAAAAGTTGAGAATATGATAATTATTTTCTGACTAGCTTTTACCCGCGGCTTCGCTCGCGTCACAAAAGGATAAAAAGTATGTAGCCTATGTGACATATACTAATACACATAGCGCCATCTATACCAATTATTTTGTTTTCCCTCGGGAATATCAAATTTTTCCGGAATAAAAAGTACCATATTATTTAATCCAGACTTCTAACTTTACGTCTGCAAAAATTCAAAGCAATCGGTTTAGTAGTTACGGCGTGAAAGCGGAACAAACAAATAAACAAACAAACGCACATTCCGATTTATAATATTAATATACTAAGGATAAGGATTTCTATGCTGCGAAGTGTGAAAGAGCCATGTTTTGTCGAGAATGAGACGGCTCGACTTCACAACTACTAGACCTAACGACTACCTCATTGGCTGAGTGGTCGCAAGTGCGACTGCCGGGCAAGGGCTCTCGTGTTCGATTCCCGGGTCGCGCAAAATACTACTGGGTTTTTTGCACGGAGTCTGGAATACGGTAGATGCCTAATTTTTATTTTAATGTACGTCTGGTAGATTGTTTTAAATCATTACACACGTATTTTTTATTTTCTTACAGAAACGAATACTTTCGACGATATATTGATTTGAAATGTCACGTGACGTCACTTCTATGTACATATTATTCGTAGAAATGACGTTTTAACCCCCACTCCTAAACTTTGATTCGTTTTATCTAAGTATTATTTTATTATACGACAAAACAAAAAAATACGTGTCTAATACTTTTTCACTACCTAACTTACGGACTAATTAGATTTTTAATTTTCATACCCCGTCATCATCCCAATTGTGCCGGGTATATGGCAGGATCACCTCCTATTACATGGGACTCATAACATAAATGTACATCCTTACTAATATTATAAAATTGGAAAGTGAGTTTGTTTGTTTGTTCCGCTTTCACGCCGTAACTACTAAACCGATTGCTTTGAATTTTTGCAGACGGAAAGTTAGAAGTCTGGATTAAATATTAGGGTACTTTTTATCCCGGAATAAATTGATATTCCCGAGGGAAAACAAAAGTATTGGTATAGATGGTGCTGTATGTATTGGTATATGTCAGATAGGCTACTTTTTATCCTTTTGTGACGCGAGCGAAGCTGCGGGTAAAAGCTAGTAATTTAAATAAATGAACTCCTACAAACCCATCACATCAAAAAGATGCAATAACGAACCTACATAACAAACAGATGTTAATGAGTCAGTCAGTTTGTCACACGGTGTACTGCCAACAGTCAACACTCAATGCCTGGCGAGCAGCCAATGCAACACATTGTACGAACATTGGCATTAACCTCGATGAACGCTCACACAAAAACATTTAATAGTTAATCCCATAGTTTAAACTGTTATTTCAGTTATAATTGACTTGTTTGTTTATATTTTTGTGATATTTTGGGACTGGAATTTTTCAAATTTTTTAAATTTAACTGGAATTTTTTGAAATCATCGAATGATTGCTCCCGCCTGAGTGAGGCGGGAGGGAGTGTCAGACGATTACTGACTAAAAACCACCCCGTTCCTTCTCCTGCACGTCGAGCCGGAGCCCCGGCAACCCTTTAACTCGTTGAGTACCGTCATTATAGACACAATTAAAGAACAATAGGTTGCGGTCACCGGTGACAGCTTGGTGTTTGACAGTTTAAGGCTCCGGCCTCGGCTCCTCCGTTCGGCCGGCGGCGGCTCTGTATCCGGCTCCGTATCAGCCTTATTGGGCCCCATCTGTGGTGGTCTGATGGCTATTTGAGGCGCGCACGGAACGCAAAGCGCCGTACGCTCGGTGTGGTTCTGGTCGCGCGGCGCCCTGCCTCCTCCTTAGTTGCCCCACACTAAGATTTTGTCTTGTGTCGTGGGTACGTTTACAAACATACAATATCACATACACATGACACCCAGGCCCGAAACAATTTGTGGATCACACAAAGAGTTGCTCCGTGCGGGATTCGAACCTGCTATACCTTGTGCGGTAGCCAGTTGCCGAGCCAGCGCGCCAATCGTGCAGTTAGGCAGTCAATTGAAATCAAAATGATTTTATTGAGAGAAAAGTAACTTATATATATTTTTTTCTTGAAAAATAAAATGTGTAAACCAAAGAAGGTTGCAAATATTCAAACTTTTTACTTACAAATAAACATTAAGCTATCTACTGCCTTGCCATGAAATAAAATATAATACTAGCGGACCCGACAGACGTTGTCCTGCATATCCACTTGAATGTATAAACAAAAATTCATTCAAATTAGTTCAGCCGTTTAGGATAAAAAACCTAGAGACCGACTGCAGCGCCATCTGCCGGGCTGATTTGTGAATCTAAACCATCCAGGGCGCCCCTCAAACGCATACAGAAAAATTCATTTAAATCGGCCTGCCGTTTAGGAGGACTTCAATGACATATACACACGCACAGCAGAATTATATATAAAGATAATAATACGAAATAATAATAATAGCCTATATAGCCATGGAATAAAAAGTAGTCTATACATTCCAAATTTCATTCCGTTTTGAATGATTCCGTGTTTTGATGTGATTAAATAACAAACATACAAACAAAAAACCAAACACACAAATTTTTACATTAAAAATATTAGTAACACCATTAAGTAATTATTATATTTTTGGTTTACTCGAGTAACTGTTTGTCGAGGAACTTAACACTCATTGAACTCGAGGAAATCGAAGAACCCCTCTGTGGTTCGAAACTAGTAGAGCTTTTCTCAGTATATTCACTTGAGTAACCCGCGATTTTAGTTAATTTAGTATGTCTCACGATAGTTATTATAAAAACAGTAGTTAATTCGTTTAGTAATTACATGAGTAAACCGAAAACATAATAATTAATTTAATATGTCTCACAGAAGTTTTAATATAAACACATACATAAACATAACATCACGCATTTTTATCCCCGAAGGCCGAAGGGGTAGGCAGAGGTGCACATTTCGGCACTTAATGCCACTGTACAATGTAACACCCACTTTTCACCATTTATGTTATCAGTCCCATGTAATAGGGGGAGAGCCTATTACCATATACCGGGCACATTTCCAGACTCCTTGCTACTACTGAGATTTTTAAAAACCCAGTAATACTTTGCCCGACCCGGGAATCGAACCCGAGACCACTTGCCTGGCAGTCACACTTGTGACCACTCGGCCAACGAGGCAGTCATTAGTAATGTAGGCTCTGTTTAAAATAAAATATTTGTAAACAAATCACAAAGGCAAAGATTACATCTAGCCACATCAAATAGAATTTACTGTACTTCCATTCATTTAACATTCAAAATTGCTCCTGGTCTAATAAATGATTTTGACTTTTGACTTTGACTTCATTGGCTATCACTTAAAACTATCAGTTTAACAAGAGACATTTATATTATTGTATTATAATTAACATCTAACGGTTTGTAATTGTAATAAAATTATTTAAGAGTGATAAAAAGTAATTTAGTAATAGCCTGCATGATCGCTTACCACCAGGCTAGATAGTGACTGAATGTCGGCACCAAACATAAAAAAATATAATCAAAATAAAAAAAAACATGAACTTTCCCTCTTATAAGTTAAAGTTAAGATATTGTAATAAGAATCCAATTAGTTCTACATGCAACTACAGACTTGTAAATTAGATTAGCGAACAGTCAGACACTGCCACAGACAAAACATTTTTTACTGTAAAATAAAGATTAAAAATAAAAGTAGTAACAGTACAATTGTTATATGTTATTGTTCAAGACTATGGTTCAAAACTCGACCTCGAGTAACGGGAACTGTAAACTATCAAGACAATGGGACCTTTTAGATGCAGACTTTTGAACGAATTTTTCTGTTATAAATTCACATTTTACTATAAGTATTGGTGTCTAATACATGTCTTATTTGTCCAAGATGGTGCTTAAGGGATAATATTAGAGTATATGTATGTACTTATTATTTAATTTTCATTAAACGTTGCGACACAGCCGCTGTGACGTCAATGTTTGCCAATAACCTTACCGTCTTGACATGACACATATTTTGACCCAATTTTATAGAGAAAATAAGACAAAACTATACAACTTTAGGCATTAGTTATATTAAGAGACTCTTGAAATTGGATTTTATGAACACAAAACTTAGCTTACCTTCAACGAAGACCACGAAAATCGCATTTCTCTGTTTTGATAGTGTCACCGCTTCCGCGATACTGCCTCCGTACCAATGCATGGTGGGAACGTAACAACAGTTTTCTAGCTCAGTTATAAACTATGGCTGACAATTATTCTATTAAAGACGAGTTCACAGTGTTTGGTTTATTACAAAAATATTACAGCGACATGACACAACAAATTTTGACATCTGACGTGTTTATTTTTGTTCTCTTTTCGTGTCGCTGTAAAAGTGCGTTCTGAAATCGTATTTTTACAGCACATTTTCTGAAAATAGAAAACTTGTTACATTGTTTCTTCTTTTACAAAGATGATTAGGATTAAAATGAAGGTACAAATTATGCTCTCTTGGCTATTATGAATCAGTCTTCGCTAAATTATCTCATAATTATTAAATATCATATTCCGAACGTCATCTCATTGATATTACTCCATTCGTTTAAAAATCAACATTCAACAGTACGATTCCAATAAGAATCCCACTATCAAAATCAGCTGGGTTATAGTTAAAAAGAGTAGAATGATTTATAGTGTTGTCTATGATTTCTTCCATGTGACCTTGGAAATAGCTATTCAACACTAGATGTCTCTGTGTGTTAAAAATGTATAATTAAACTAATATTATTTGCTATTGGATAATAGATGTCGCTGCTAAAAAATTACAATAAATGCTCATGAAGCTTTACATTATACTTAAAAAAATATTTTCGGCGTCGCCTATGGATCCCCGGAACACAAGAGACATTACAATTAGTGCGTTACCGACCTTTTAAAGTAAGCGTTGTTTCACGTCGGTTTTCTGTAAGGCCGTGGTATCACCCCAGTCGACCCGGCCCATGCGTGAAAATACACACAATTAATTTGTGTGTAGAAATCAGATCGAATGCTGTGTTACATTACCGGTAGCCCGTCACCCAGCGCCTGTGCTAACCGTACTGTAGATTTATTATTTGGTAACTAATTCCGAAAACTTCTGACAGAAACTAAAATTGATTGACTTCAAAGTCTTTTTGTGGTAGGTAATACCGCGAATGAAATTACTCGATAGAACTATAACCTCACACCTTGTAAATGGCTGCGGAGAACCTAACGGGTTACCGGGGCTCCGGCTCGAAGTGCAGGAGAAGGAACGGAGTGGTATTTAGTCAGTAAGAGTCTGACACTCCCTCCCGCCTCACCTATGCAGGAGAAGTGAATCGATGACATTTTACCGTCAAAAAAACACCTTGTAAATTGTAATCCCCGAAAAGCAAACAAAGATCAGAGGTGTACTGTGCAGTGGCCAGCAGATCAACCAAAACCAAAAACAAAAATATTGCCAAATAAATACTGAATTCCAAAACTCCTTAAGTAGGTACGACCGAACCGATATGACCATCAAACCTTCAAGAAAAGAGCGTACTCCTTTTTAAAAGGCCGGCAACGCACCTGTGACTACTCTGGTATTGCGGGTGTCTATGGGCGGCGCTGATCGCTTACCACCAGGAGATCCGTCTGCTAGTTTGCCTCCTATTCCATAAAAAAAGGTAATAATTAATCTAACCCAGAAACAGAACCCAAGAGCCCTAGCTCAACAGTCACCTCCGGAGCAGGTCTCTTTTATAGGACCCGGTGCATCCATACAGGTATTGAGGGTGGCTACTGAAGTGGTTTTAGTGTGGTAAATATCCCACACTTCCTAGTCTTTTATCTCTAAAAAGCTAGACGCCTTTTGAAGGTTTGCCCTCGTCATCAAGAAGATAAGCTGAACAGTCGCACTTACAATCGTTCAACCAAAAAGAACGCACCCATCAATAAATTAAACAAAACCAACCCAACCGGGATACAAACAAATAACTACTTAACTAAACAAAAAAAGTTGTTCATCAAAAGAATTTTAACTGCCACGCCGACTGCCAAGCATTCAGAAACTCGAGTGACAATTAATTTGACGTCTTTAGCTCGTTAAATAGTTAGTTTCGATTCTAATTATAATCTCAGTTCACAATTAACGAAACCATTAGTGCTTGAAACAACGTCCGCAACTTTAGGGTTGCTTGACATTGACACAACGATGACAGCTGTCAAAAGATGGCGCGAATTTTTGACGTTTTTATGAAAATGTGGCTAGGGGTCGCGGGTGGGTTAGTTTCTTTGTTGAATATTATTTCAAAACTTTATAACTATAATATTGATATGCAAAAGTTTGTGAGTTTGTGTGCAAGTTTGTTTGAGCAGGGGTAGATTATGGTTTGAAATAACACTAAAGCTACTTTTTATCCCACGGAAAGGCTGGCGAAGACGCGAACAGGAGCTAGTCATAATAATCAAGTAGGTGCTTTACAATGTGACATCCACATTCCGCGTCTCATATAGGTAAGTAATAGGAATTTATGTTACTGGTGTCTATGTAGTATCTTTAAAATAAATCATAATTATTAGTCAGTATATAGGTAGATCCGTATAACTATCCCCTTTTTTTTTAAAGGGGGGAAAATCATCGAATGACTCCTCCCGCCTGGGTGAGGCGGAAGGGAGTATCAGACTCTTACAGACTAAAAATCACCCCGTTCCTTCTCCTGCACGTCGAGCCGGAGCCCCGGTTACCCGTTAGGTTCTCCGCGTAATTTAATAAAGAAAAGACATCTCGTTAATACTTAACTGCCAAACTACTAAAAGACAAAAGGTTTTAATATCCCAATTATAAATTAAAACTTGATTTATTGATAAGCCATCCATCTAAATAAAACAAATTAATAAAACTAATAATTTCAATCGATTTCAAAATAATCGATCATTACCTATCACTGTCAACCCTATGAGCTGTCAAAGTGATTGATACAAAATGGGCGGGAAATGTGACGTTTGTTTTGGCGCGAACAGATCGAGGCTCGGTCGTTTTATGATGCTAGTCTAGCCAAATTGCAATCGATGGGTAATTTAATTTATTTTTAGCTGATTTCTGCATTAGTGGTTTTAGATTGTTAATGGTTAAGTTTATATTTACCTACTTCAACTTTTTCTTTTCGCAGACAGACATTCTTTAATTATCGCGTGTGTTGTGTCGTTGTGTTGAAAAACTCATAATTTAAACCCGAAAAAATAATTTGTGGATCACACATAGAGTGATTTCGTACGGGAATCGAACTGGTTATTTTTTTCGATCTCTTTGACTGTATTTTAGTGTTACATTGTTCTCGCACAACCCAAACAACAAAACTATATAACTAGAGAATTGTATTGTGAACCTGATTGAAAAAGAGTAACCTATGGAGTTTCTCACTCGTTCTTCTCCATAGGAATCTACACCTTGGAATGAGCAAATAGCTTCACTTTTAATTATTTTTTGTTGACGTTCAAAAGTGCCTTTCTGGTCTAATTGAAATAAATGATTTTGCTTTGACTTTGACTTTGAATCGGATGACTGTCTGGTTGGCACAGTGGCTGGGCAACGAGCTGCCGCTGTTTGTGTGATCCTCAATTGGCTAGTTTCATAGGTTTAAAATAAATAGTTTCAACTTTTCAAAGCAAAAAATAATTAAAAAATAGTTATGCACTCATCCATTGATTTGACAATTTACCTACTTTTGGATTTTTCCTCGGTAATTTTAAGGAAATAAGTATATGCTATTTGACGCAGAAATACGATGACGTCGTAAGTTGCGGTCCAATACAAAATTCATAAAAAAGTATTGAATTTGACTATCGTATTTATTGTTTCGGGTCTCGATGTCATTTATTTTGTATGTGAACTTGTATGTTTGTAAACGCAACCCACGATACAGAAAAAAATACAAGTGTGGGATTTTTTTTATAAAAAGAACTCTAACAGCCACCAGTGTGTACCAACTGTCTGGTCAAAGTATTAATAAGTAAATAGATACATTCTTCTCATTATTATGTTCGCATCAGATTTTTTTTAATCGTTGCCTCACACTATGATTATCTCCTGTATCGTGTGTACGTTTACAAACATACAAGTTCACATACAGATGACGAACCCGCGACACGTTGCACGGCAGCCGGTTGTCCAGCCACTGCACCAACCGTGCAGTCAAAATTGTCAAAATTGATATTTTTATTCTTAGAAAGTTAATCCCTATGGGATAGACCAGTAAACGAGCAGCCGGATTACCTGATGGTAAACAATCAGCGCTGCTCAAAGACACCCGGAATACAAGGGAAGTTACAAGTGCCTTACCGACCTTTGGGGAGCTAAGAATTTGGGGATTCGGGACAAGGGGAAGGTGAGGAATTAGCCCCCCGGTAACCTCGCCGGTAGCCCGGCAAACTGCGCTCGCTGCTCATGAGGAAGAACCCCTCTGTGGTTCGAAACTAGTAGAGCTTTTCTCAGTATATTGACGTGCGAAACCCGCGAGTTCTAGTTAATTAAGAACAAAGTCAATACAAATCATTAAATATACTTACTTAGTAAGTTCACACAAGTAATAAAACTTGTTCAACTCAAGCAAAACGTGCGCGACACATCTGTCATCCATTTTTAGATCTCAAAGGCGCGAAAACACTCCATTTCACGTCTCATTGCCATTTTAAAACGTAATTCACACTTGCAAGTAAAATGTTGCCAGAGTAATAAACTGTCGCTAGCCATGCGTGTTGTCAGCGTCGAAAACAAATTGTTTAATTGCCATGTTTAAAAATAGATTGTATTTTCTAATTAGGGTTGTTGACAGTGTGTGTTCGTGGGTATTTAATTATCGCGTGCGGTGGGAGTTTATGGGAGAAGTGTTTTTATCTAATTGGGTCGTTAGCTTCGACAATTCTTCGGCTGTTAGCAAAAGGAACATTTGATTCCCGGGCTGGGTGGAGTCTTATAGAGATATTGATTTTAAAAGGCTTATTACGGAAGGCCTTCTTATTTGAAACAGTTGTATTGTTTGTCTAGCTCACTATCCCACTCATAACCTCTTTCTGTACATTTTTTTTAAGGGGGGAAAATCATCGAATGACTACTCCCGCCTGGGTGAGGCGGGAGGGTGTGTCAGACTCTTACTGACTAAAAACCACCCCATTCCTTCTCCTGCACGTCGAGCCGGAGCCCCGGTTACCCGTTAGGTT